TGTGGCATTTTAATAATATTTGATGGTATTCACAGCTGTCATCGCAGCTCTATCTTCACTATTACATCGCTTTCGTTGTCGTTCGTTAAGACTATTGTCGTCGTCGTCGCTATTCCTTCCGATGTTACCACTGTTGTTGTTGCTATTGTCATCGTCGTCCCCTTCTCTTATATCATGCCGCCACTGGACAATGATGAAGATCGCATGACAGCGGCCTGTCGCCGGTGAGGTCGATAACCTTTGCTGTTTCGTTGCGCTTGCGCTGCGCGATACCGGCATCTTTTTGACTCCGATGGTATTGGTGGAATTTTTTTTCAAAATTCCATTGCCTGCATCCCCCAGGCTCTCGGCGTGGTGTCCTGTATGCCATCGTTGTAGAACTCAGTTATTCTGTTCAGCTGTTTTTCAACTTCTTGATTGCGACTACCAACTCTTGTACATTTCGGCTGCTGATGCATTGGTTTTTGCAAATTATTGGGTTGCAGATTCAAGGATATTTTCGCGCTTTTCGGGCGGGTACCATGCAGACATTATGATTTTACTGTCTCAGTACAGGCGTTATGTTTCTGCAAATTTGCTACAAAAGGGGGTATTTCAAATTTAATTTGATGCGGATCAGTTGATCTATTCGGATTTGAAACACTGCTGAAATGTAACTAACACGTGCGAGGGTCGGCGTAACGGGACGTGTCGTAGGATATTTTAAAGATGCTATGAAGCGTGTAGTCGTACTGAAATGATACTTTTAACTCTTATTAATACTGAAAGCTCCAACGCATTAATCAAATTTTGGGGGGAAGAATCGGTTCTGAAAATACCTTCGAACTTGGACCACGCCCTTTTTCAATTATTTAAAATTTCATTGTGTCCGGCCCCACTCCTTTTCTTTGATGGAGAATATCAAACATTTAATTATTAAATTACTGGTAATTATGTTCACTTAGAAAACGTCAAATAAAGGATTTTTGGTAATAATCAGCGGGTAGAGAGGCAGCGACAGGCCGGTCACTTGCACGTTCAGCTGAACAGATATAGAACCCTCCATCACCATTAAGTACGAACGTCGCAGCGATCCAGCTAGGTCGGAGTGTCTTCAGTTTTTTGCAATTTTGCGCGTGAAATTCGCGGATAGTCGTTTCAAAATATTGTGATTGCCAAGTACACCTTCCAGATTTTAAGCCGGCTTTGAACACTTTTTAATCTTTCCCGCTTGTCGGACCCACGTTGTCTGCCGTCCTTCAAATAGTGAAGCCTACTTCCGGATAGCTCGTCGTACTGCGTAAGTGGGAACAGCGAGACGCAGCTCGGTTCCCGTGATCTAACAAATCGTATCAAATCGAGAGAACCCTGTCTCACAGTTCGTACGGCTTTGTATACTGTTGTGAGGGACGGATGACAATCAGGAGAATGTCGTACAAGAATAGCAGATGCACTGAGGCAGTGAAGAAGCAGCCTGGAACAACTGCACTTACGTATGACTCAGCGATCCGGGTGGGATTCACCACTGTGCTACCATAATTTGTTACGAGCAGAAAGGCTGTTTTTTTCTTTTACAGCCGCTAGTGTTTGTTATCCTGAACATTATCCTTGTAATAATCGTCCTCATAAATCCACAAAGGTCTATCAGTTTGCTCAGCTGGCAGCGTTCGCCAAACATTTTGGGTTTTGCAGAACTTTGTAAACAGTAGGATATGTGCTTAATGCGCCATTCGACGCGGATAATTTACGGCCGTGTGCATGGCGAAGAATTCGAAACTGCAAAAAACCCTTCGTCGCACTTAGTTGCTTGGAGATGCGAAGGCATTGCTTTGTTATCATCAGTTGTAGCAGCTTGCTGATAGGAAGCCTCATGCTTTCTTCTTCGAGCGTTCTGTTTGGGAGAAGTTATGACAGTTTTGTTGAATAAACTGCAATACGTTTCAAAACAGTGGTACCGGACTCATCAGTATGAATGGTGCAGGGCATTTTGTTAAGAATGAAATAATGGACGAATCGTTGTGAGGGCTGTCGGGGTGACAAATGTTTTTCTTTTTTTTTTTATTCAGTGGCACATTTCCTTTTTATGCGCATTCGTATTTTAAATAATCTTAATTAATCAACACCATCGCGCTGACGAGGTCTAGTTATGGTGTGA